AAAAAAAAAAAAAAAAAATAGCTACACCCGGGAGGAACCCCAACTGGAGGCTCTGGAAAGCAAATGAAGCTCCTGGTAGGGAATTGCAGCAGGGTTGAAATGCAGCTTTGCACACACACACTGCCCCCCCTCCCCTCCCAGCTTGGCTTTGTGGGGAGAGCTCGAGCTCCCAGCGAGGAGGGTATGGAGGGGTTGTTATGGTAGGAGGCTCTCCAGGATCAGCATGGTGTGTGTGCACCAAGTGAGGCGTGAACTCAGTCCCGGCTCCTCTCTCTCTCCCGGCCACCGACAGGCAGCAAGCGCTGAAAACAAGAACAAAGCTCCCTCTACCAACCTCCCCCCCCCCTCCTCCTCCGTCTCCTCCTCCCCCCACCAAGCTCGCCCAGGCTCCTGCTGCAGCCACCTAACCCGCTTCTCGTTTACCTTCGCAGACGTCCTGTCCCGGTGTTAGGTCGGAGGGGAGGGATGGAGGGGGGGAGGGAAGGGGAGAAAAGCTCCGTGGAAGGGATGGAGGCAGCCGGGGGGATATAAAGCAGCAGAGGAGGCTCTGTGGCCGGGCAGTGTGGAACATTGAGAGTCGGAGCAGGGGGGAGACGGGGGGAGGCTGCAGTGCGGGCCGAGAGCCGGAGGGTGGCGCTGGCGTGCCCCCTTTTTGCCGAGCGGGCTCCCGCGGCGGGCCAGGGGGTCAGAGGGGAGAGAACACGAGCTTCCCCCGGGGGAAGCAGGCCGGATGGAACGGGGAGACTCGAGCGTTCTACCGCCTCCGCCCCCTTGTGTCGCTACGTTCGGATTCAGAATGTTGCAGTCAGCAAAGTTCCAAACGAGATGGGGGGGGGGGGGCGCGCTTGCTCCCTTTCCTCGGCTGCTGGAGCGCGCCCCCCTCTGGGCTGGGGCGCGCGCACGCGCTCTCTACCTTTGCTGAGTGCGTGCATTCTCCCGTGCTGGCCAAGGACAAAGAGTTGGTGGCTCTGCAGCCCCTAAGTTTGCAGCCTGCCTCTCGCTTGCTTCGCCGCCGCCGATCCCCCCAGTGCAGGCACCTTTCCTTAGCGGCTTGGAGCCCCCTGAGCAGCCGCGGGGACAGAGGGAGACCTGCAGGCAGAAGTGGGGGGAGGGCGGGCATGAGGTCCTGGATGTTGTTCCGTGCCAGGCACCAGCGCGTGTGCAGAATCCTGCTTGTGCCTGGCAGGGGCGGTGGAGCCGGCGTGCAAGGAGCAAGGCTTGTAGCAGCTGTCCTTCGGCCTGCTGCCTGCAAAGGGGGGCCCTGAACCCAGGGGAAGGGGAATAGATTTCCCTGGGCACCCGAGCCAAGTGGGCACCCTGGGACCTAACCTAGGGATGAAGGAGTGTGAGGAAAAGCCGCACCCTGCCCCATTTTGCCCCCAAATCCAAAGCTTTCGCTTTTTAAATGGCTTCAAAATTTACCTACTTTTACTAGGCAAACGGCACCCAGGCTCTGCCGTGCCCCAGTTCACCGGGGTGTGACATTCCAGCTCCTGTTGGATCCAGCCAAATATTTAGGCCTCAGCCCCTGAAATTAAAAAAGTGTAAATTGATTTTTTTAATTTCTAATACTGCACCCTAAGACTTCAATCACCAGCGCCTCCAAACATCACGACAGCACAAGGCTCATTCTACATTTCATGTTTTAGGCTTTTGGACAGATGTTAACTATAACGCCAAAAACCAGATCATCAAAGTGGAAAAGAAATGCTGCTTTTATCTCCCACTTCCCCTCACCCCAAAAAGGACCCAAACACATCCTGATAACAGGAAAGCCACAGAAACTAATTTGGCACCTGTGTACTTTTGGAGATGGTATTTTTGGCTTTGTGCCTTTCCTTTTAGCCATCTAAATTTTTATGCATACAGTTTCTCTTAATCTACTAATACCTTCCTCAAGTGCAGTAATGCTAAGAAGTGGTGGAGCATTTTTCACAACTATAGGAAATACAGTAGATCTACAAGTGAAGCAGCAGCAAAGTTAGCAATATGGATTCTAAATCTTTATAATAATAGCACATTGGGAAGAGCCTTCTGATCTCAGCTTCCTTGTAAATGATCAGCTGTACCAAGCTGTACAGCTGTTAACCTTTTTAAAGGGGCGAAAGCTATCAAGAAGAATGGTTATTGCAATATATATCTGCATGTATGTGCTACAGGGAAGATGGTATAGGATGATTCATTTTGTTTCTAGCCATGCATGTATTCATTTCTTGTGGTTACCTTTCTAGTGTATGAGGTAAACAGTTAATCATAATTCGCTATTAAAAAATTCTTTGTGGCAAAAGTGGAAGCGCTGTCCATCTAGTACTGGAAGGATGACAAATGTAAATATTTCAACCTTGTCAAGAAGTCGGATCATACTGAAAGTAAAATTGCCTAACACTAAAAAATTGATTGCAGCTCAACCATCTTTGATAAAAGCAGTTGGAAGTTAATGTGGAGGGGTGTGAACAGGAAAGAAAGACTTCAAAACAAATTTTAAATATTTGTGTCAAGACACAATATATCAACTAACAAGAAATCTCTACTGACTGTTACTGCCCAGCTTATGGCCTACTATAGTGAAATTATTGCATTGTTTTAGATGTGGTGGTTTTAAAGAGCTGGTATGTGTATTGTGGTCTAAAAGGAATAAACAATCAGTATGACAGAGGTGATAGCTTTCTGAGTAACAAGTTGGATCAAATGAAAACTACGCTAAAGAATTGGTTTGTATATGTTGATATGATGGGGAGAAATAGAGGAAGTTTGTTTGTTGAAGTAGGCTGTAGACAATTCCCAGCTCACCACTACAGGCAATTTGCCCCTGAGGTATGCTGTAGAAAATTCCTAGCATAAACAGTATCTAGCATGATGAGCAATCTGGGCATAATTAGTAAAAGAGAGGCATGAAAATATCAAAAATCTATCAGTCAGCATTGCAGGCTTTTTGCTAAACTGTGGATGATGCTGCCAAATAACACATACTAGATTATGGGAGCTGTTAAAGGCAAGATTATGCATTTAAAATCATGTTTTAAGTAAAAGTTAATATAACCCAGACATTTACAAAAAGGAAAATACTAAGTGTGAGTAGGCCAGGTAAATGTAAGGAGGTTGGTCAAGGGTTGCTCACTGTCACCTACAATGCACTGCTTCTTCTGTGGCTTTTAGAATATCAAATGAATGTATCAAAAGTCCATTTAACAGAGATTAATTGAAAAGCCAGGCTAGATGTGATTTTTTCCCCCAGCATTTATACCTTATTAAAACAGATTTATTACAACAACTTGGTAATATAACAGGTGTTTATCTGAATGTACATTCATTCATTTGACCTCAAGTCCCAAAAGATGACACATTCTCTTAAGAGTTTGTATCTGCCACTTGTAGGTTCTCAACTACGTTTTTAAAAATATCAAAAAAACAAACTTTAAAAATGTGCGTATAAAGCAGTGCACCAAGTGGAATGATATCATCTGAAAGCCAACTTTAACAAGTTATAAAGCCACTGACAGTTACATGACTTTTGTGACTTGATATCAGTTTGATTGCTACATATATCATCTATGTATGTACCGTGGAGGTTGTTTTTCAGCTAATTTGTTGCATCACTCAAATAGTGGAAATTTAACATCACAAAATAGAAAGTATGAAAAGCCCACTTAAGACAGTTTATGTTTAACTTCACAATTTGGGACAGTTGCCTGGAAGTGAGATCTATATCTTATTTTCCCTGACCTTAAATACCTGCATTGGCCACTGTCCTTTCATCAAGGTCTGCCCTAAACTGCTGTGGTCATCTTTTCAGAAAGAGTTCTTTTTGGGGGGGACGTGGCTCAATGACTATTCTGACAGAGAGAGATATTTCCGTGTTCTTGGTATATTACCTGCTGCTTAGGCCTGTGTACATAATCGAGCATTTTTGTAGGTTTGGGAATTAATAGTTAATTCTTCCACATTTTAAAATTTATAATGAAGCAGAAAGTAACGCATTGTCTGGTGACAGAACATGCTTCTCTCCGTAGGTAAACTCCTTGCCTGAGCTCCTTGCTTCTAACAGTTTAAAGGCCCTATACATGGTAAAAAGAAGCCTGAATAGTGTCACTTCCTCATCAAGAGCCACTTGACTGGAAACACTTTATAGTTATGTGGTCCATCTTCATCACAAAAATCACTTGTTCCTGGCAGCAAATATATTTTCAAATAGCAGTGAGCGGTTCTGTTCTATCTGTGTTTCCATACCACACTGTGGTAACTGAACACATTTTGCAATTCAACTGCAATTTTAGAGCTGCAAATACAACAGTTGCACAGTTTGAAAAATGAATAAAGTATTTTTAGGAGAGTAGTTGCTATGAGATAAAAATCAGATCACACTTTTACTGCTGTTCATTTGTTTTATGGGAGTAACTAGAAGCCCCAGTCAAGACAGCCCAGTCAGGCAAGGCAGCATGCAAATACACAAAAATCCCATTCCCAAAAAGGCCATACAGTGTAAATAGACAAAGGCAGACAAGAATGGCAACATAACAGTCTAACATTGAGGCACAAAGAGATTAAGTGACTTGCTCAAGGGCATGCAGAAAGTCTATTATAGGGACACCAGCTGAAACCACATTTCCTGAATCCCAAGTCAGTAACTTGAACTTCAAAATTATCATCTTTTTGCTTTGCAATGAATTAAGAATAGAATTATTTAAACTGTCTGACAGCAGAACTGTTTGTGTAGTTAAAAAAAAAACAAGTTCCTATTTTATTTCAAGGTGGTTTGGTTGTAGCCATGTTGGTCTAAGGACATAGGCAGGCAAGGTTCTTTGGGTAGATGTGATATCTTTTATTAGACCAGCTAAATAGTTGGGAAAAAGTTATTTGCAAGCTTTCAGGCACAAATACCCTTCTTCAGGCACTGGGAGACTCTGCTGCTCTTCAGTGTTATCCAAGGTGAAAAAGAAGCTAAAATAAACAAGAAGTCTGTGAAAATGCAAATGAGTGGAAGTTTGGAAGACAATAAGAAGAGAGGAGGGAAGGGTGGGGAAGGGAGGGAAACGTGAAGGAATGCAAGTGGTCAGCTGGAGGCAGGTTACCTGGTGTGTCAGATATCAGGCAGGTTGTAAGGCGTTATAAGTCCAATGTCTATATTAAGTCCATGATTTCTTTTGTATCCAGTAGATTTATGAAGTGAAGTTTATAGGCTTGTCTACAAAAGGTGTTTTGTAAGGTCCCTTTGAGGATTAGAACTGAGAGATCAGAGAGGGAGTGATTGTCTTGTGAGAAGTGGGTACCCATAGGTGACTGGATATTTTTCTTCGAAGGATTTTTGGTGTGCAGTCATTTTGGTGCGCAGTTGTTGTTTGGTTTTTCCTACATATTTTCTATCACAGCAGTGGCAATGCATAGGGAGTGCATGTGCACCCCCTGAAACCCCCTGTCAGGCCACGCTCTCCGCTCAGGCAACGGGCAGAGGGGGCAAGTGGGAGTGCCGGTGCCCACCCCACGAGCGCCGGCTGGGGCATGTGAGCACCAGATGTAGGCTGCGGCTGCTTCCGGAAGTCCTGTGGCCACTTCCAGGAGTGCTGTGGCTGCTTTCAGGAGCAGCATGGCCACTCACTGCGGCCTCCGCCCCCTTCGCTGACTGGTCGCTGGTAGGGCATGTGCCCTCCTTGACTAAGGGGGCATTAGTTGCCCATGCATCATGGCATTTGGTGCACTGGATAAAATATATTACATTTCTGGAGGCCCAGGTATAAGATCAGAAAGGGTGATGGTTCTGTTTTGGGGAGTAGTTACTGTGGGACTGGTGAAGA